CCCTGCTCTGGGGAGCAAACCTGCCTGTCTGTGAGGCCACTGGGCTATTACGCCGTCTCTTTCGAACATGGGGGGAGCGTTTGACCCTTTTTGGAGCGGGACGGGTGGGTGTCTGCGGGACGTTTCGAGTTCTGGGTGAAAATCAAGATCTGGAATACTGGCCGGAATGGGAATAATTTGATGTTGAGAAGCTGCTGCAGTGCTGAGACAGGAGCTTACTCGACAGCCCGCGGGTCTCTGGACCAGCCCCGCTGTGCTGCCCCCTGCTGCCCGGGCATAGGCAACCCGAGTCTCCTTGCCCCCCGAGACACACCCACAGAAATGCGATCGGCCCGCCGGAGCTGTCCTGAGGGGTGCAGGCCAGGACAACCCCCTCCCCCTGCTGCCGCATGAGAACGGGTCCCTGGGGCCTCCGCTGGCAGGCCCAGGCTTTCTGCTTTGTGTTCTCTGGCCTCCATTCTTCTGGTACCTTCCCGCTTTCGGAGACGTCTCAGCACCGCTGGCCAGGGGCGCTGGTCCTCGCTTTGCCAAGTCCCTTGCTGCCCTGGGACTCAGGCAGGGCCAGCCTGTCCATGCAGGGCAGCCAGACCCACCTGACTGCTGGGTGTGCTGGTGCCGGGTGCAAAAGGGCACCAGAAGCATGGTCCGGCTGCTGACCTGGACATCTAATTACCAGGGGAGGGCTGGGTGCAGCCGGGAACCACGGCCTGCTTCTCCCCGTGCCAGAGCCCCGAGAGCTGGGCCTGACCTGGGGCCCGGGGACACGTGGGGGCGTTTATCTGCAGCACGAGGCGCACGGCAGGCGTGGGTCGGGGGTTGGCACTGCAGACACCCCCAGCCACACGCTCCCCGACCCCCGGGCTGAGGGGGAAGCACGCCACATGCGAACATGGGCACCGAGGGGAGACGGGCCTGAAGACCTGGCTCTTTGGCACGTGCCTTTTGGATCTGTCCAGGCGCCTCCTTGTGCTGGAAACCCCCCAAACCGGCCGCTGGCGCGCGAGTTCAGTTCCTGTCCCTTCAGAGCTCACGCCCCAGCCACACGCTCCCCGACCCCCGGGCTGAGGGGGAAGCACGCCACATGCGAACATGGGCACCGAGGGGAGACGGGCCTGAAGACCTGGCTCTTTGGCACGTGCCTTTTGGATCTGTCCAGGCGCCTCCTTGTGCT